CCCCCCCAGATTTGAGCCCTTGTCCCCGGCACAAGGGGCTGACCCCGCCGTTCCCATTTCACGGAGCCACCATCCTGGGAAGCCTTTTTTTTTTTTTTTTTTTTTTTTTGTCCAACTGGTGAAAAAGACGGACGGACAGACAGAACTGTTTACCGTTGATCCGTGTCTCATGAGTTATCCAGGTCTGTTAGTTTTTGTTTTGTTTTTTTTTTTTTTTTCCTTTGTTTTTTTCGAAAGGCCTTCTGTGGCCTTTTGACCTCCCCATTTTTGGAAGGCCGCCGCCCCGCCCCCTCGCCTCCCCCCACCACCTTGGAGAAGGCCGCTGACCCCTGACCTCCGACCTGGCTTCATTCACAGGCTCACACCCTCCCCCTGACCCCAAGTCCGACCCCCCCACACATGTCTCTCCACCACCCACCCCCACAGCTGAGTTTTTGTACGTATCTGTTAAAAACGCTTGTCACTTTTAACTAATCAGATCTTTTTACAAGTATCCATTTATTATTATTATTATTATTATGTAATGGCTTCTTTAGAAAAAAAAAATCTTATAGTACATGTATCTTTGCGTGTGCGCGTCGGATCTTTGCGTGTGCGCGTCGGATCTTTGCGTGTGCGCGTCGGATCTTTGCGTGTGCGCGTCGGATCTTTGCGTGCGCGCGTCAGATCTTTGTGTGTGCATGTTGCGTGTCTGTCATGTGTGTGTCATGTGTGCGTCATGTGTGAGTCTCGTGGGGGTTTAATTTGGCAGCTGGACGCGGGGACAGACGACCGGGGCTGGTTTGGGGGGGCAGGACGCGGGAAAAGGGGGCGTCGCGTTGAAGGCCTAAGTCGAGCCGCCCGCGGGGGCGGGGCGGGCTCCGGGTCCGCTCAGCAGCTGCAGCTCTCGGCCGACGCCTTGGCCCGGTCGTTCTTGTCCAGTTTGATGGGCTCGGGGAACTCGTTGTACAGCTCCACCTCCGTCTCCTGGGGCAGGGACAGACAGAGACACAGAGACACAGAGAGAGACAGAGACACAGAAACAGAGTGACAGAGAGAGAGAGAGAGAGGGACACAAAAAGACAAAGAGACACAGAGACAGAGAGAGAGACAGAGACACAGAGACACAGAGAGAGACAGAGACACAGAGACAGAGAGAGACACAGAGACAGAGAGACACAGAAACAGTGACAGAGACAGAGAGACACAGAGACAGAGAGACAGTGACAGAGACAGACAGAGTGACAGAGACAGAGAGAGATACAGAGACAGAGATAGAGACAGAGAGAGACAGAGACATACAAAGAGACAGAACAAGAGAGAAAGAGACAGACAGAGACAGAGAGACAGAAACAGATGGAGAGACAGAAACAGAAAAAGAGATGGAGAAGACAGAGAAAGACAGACAGAAACAGAGAGACAAAGAGACAGAGAGACAGAGAGACACACAGAAAGACAAAGACAGAGAGACAGAGAGACACAGAGAGACAGAGACACAGAAACAGAGTGACAGAGACAGAGAGAGAGACACACACAGAAAGACAAAGAGACAGAGAGACAGAGAGATACAGAGACAGAGATAGAGACATACAGAGAAAGAGACAGAACAAGAGAGAAAGAGACAGACAGAGACAGAAACAGATGGAGAGACAGAAACAGAAAAAGAGATGGAGAAGACAAAGACAGAAACAGAGAGACACAGAGACAGAGAAAGACAGGGAGACAGAGATATACAGAGAGATAGAGACAGAAAGATACAGAGAGACAGAAAGATAGAGACAGAAAAAGACAGAACAAGAGAGAAAGAGAGAGGGACAGAAACAGATGGAGAGACAGAGACAGGGAAAGACAGAGACAAAGAGACAGAAAGAGACAGAGAGAAAAACAGAAAAAGAGAAACAGAGACAGAGAGAGACACACAGAAACAGAAAATGAGACAGAGAAGACAGAGACAATGAGACAGAGACAGACAGAAGAGACAGGGACAGAGAGAGACAGAAACAGAGACAGAGAAACAAAGAGACAGAGAAACAGAGACAGAGAAACAGAGAACAGAGACAGAGACACATAGACGGACAAAGAGAGACCATGAGACAGAGAAAACAGAGACAGAGAGACAGAGACAGAGACAAAGAAACAGACAGAGAGACAGAGACAGAGAGAGACAGAACAAGAGAAACAGACACAGGGACAAAACAGAGGACAGAGGAGACGAGAGAGAGCCGGTGACTTGACACCACAGAGATGCCAGCCTCACTACAACGCATCCTCTACGAATGCGGTCCCTATTTTCATTTGTTTTTTCATAGTCAGAGCTCGCTCTGTCCGACCCAGGCAGAGTGAGAGCGTGGCCGTCAGCCTCGCTCACGAGCAGCCCCGACTTCTGCCCTCCAGCGAGCCTCCTCCTCCGCCTCCCCTCCTGAGTAGCTGGGACTACAGGCACGCGCCTCCCCAACGCGCCTGGCTCGTTTTTTTCTATATATATTTTTAGTCTCTATCTCGTTTCTTTAATTCTTTCTTTTTTTTTTTAGTAAGCACCGGGGTCCTCGCCGGCCTTCTCCAGGCCTGGCCCAACTCTGACCATCGACCGATCCTCCCACCTCGCCTCACCCAGATGCCGGACCGACAGTTGTACTGAGCCCCCCGCGCCCCGCCTGTCTCCTCCACCGGGTCGGTGGCCGCAACCTGGCAGCTCAACGCTCCCGCACCGCACAGAAAACAGAGACAGGGGGCCCCAGGAATCGCACGGGCGGCCTCAAACCACGGCTCTCCGCGTCTATCTCAACGACAGTCCCAACAAAAAGAAAAAAGTAAAAAAAAAAAAAAAAAAAAGGTGGAATTTCTAGAAGCTTCCGCAAAAACTGTGCCAACACAACCGTCTCCAGATAAACACAGCAATGGTTCTCCGCCAAACGCGGAAGACCACTGCAGGGCCGGAAGCTTGAGGCCGGAAGATGGAGGCCGGAAGTTTGAGCCGGAAAGATGAGATCCGAAAGGTGGAGGCCGGAAGATGGAAGCCGGAAGATGGAGGGGCCAGAAGATGGGAGGCCCAGAAATGGAGGCCAGAAATGGCAAGCCGGAAATGGTAGCCGGAAGATGGGAGGCCGGAAGGTTGGAGGCCCGGAATTAGAGGCCGGAAGATGGGAGCGGTGAGGCCCCCAGAGGCGGGCAGGCCCGGGGCACCTACCCTTGCCTTGACGCGTATCCGTGGCGATGGTCTGGAAGGCCTGCTCCACGTTGATGGCCTCCTTGGCGCTGGTCTCGAAGTACGGGATGTTGTTTTTGCTGTAGCACCAGGCCTGGGCCCGCTTCGTGGCCACCTGCAAGGAAGGACGGACGGACGGAAGGTCACACAAGGGCTCCGCTGAGCTCGGCCCAAACGGGACTGGACCAAACGGCCTCCTGCCTCACCTCCCTCCCAGGTAGCTGTGGACTACAGCATTGCGCCTCCCACCCCGCTCGTTTTCTGATATTGATTATTGTCCAGCTCATTTCTTTCCTTTTTTTTTTTTAGTAGAGACCCG